AAACAAAAAAAAAAAACAAAAAAACTGAAAGGGGATCGATCGGAGTTTCCAGCAAGAAATATTCACGAAACATATACTGTAGAAACAGTAGATTCATGGGCGATTATTAATCTACAATAACTATAGAATACCCATGCTTCTCGAATTATTGCGTTTATGGAGGTATATTTACGTGGTTTTGCAGCCCTCAGCCAAGATAGGTGCGTCTGCTTCTTGTGCGACAATGGCCATGTTCCAAGGAACGGGTTTTTCCGGCCACAAGCCCTCGGAAGTCATGATTTTAAAAGAAAAAAAAATACGGCGAAAAAGAAAGAAAAGATGACCAACTGGACTTCATGTTTTATGTATATTTTAGGTATATTTTATGTATATGTGGGTTCTGAAATCGATTTTGAGAAATTATTGAAATTCGAGTGTACATTTAAAGTATATTTTATGTATATGTGGTGTCGCTGACTTGAATTAAGAGAATCTCGAGTGTGTATTATATGTATATTTTATGTATTTGTATGTTGTACAACTTTGGTATATACCCGCAACATGTAAATTTTCATATCTTATGGTAACATATAAAACATGTACATAATTTTCATACCCGAAAACATACAAATTTTCATATCGAAACATATACTGAAAATATACTCTATATACCCACACCGTATACCCGCAATATGTACAAAATAGAACTATCTATCAACAAATCAAGCACACCAAGTGTTCGGCGATTATCCTCTAAGAAGTTTTCCGTCAAAACATATTAAAAAAACTATATATTTAACATATATTGTACATATACTCATCATATACTGTTTATATACCACAACACAGCACAAGCAATAGAGGTGCAATCGATCTTTTTCTTAAGAAAAGATACGCAAATATACCACAAAAAAAAAGATCTCCCTTTCATTGGCTTCTGCCAAGCATTTAAGCAAGAAATTGCACGAGCGTATTCCCGGTTCATAGCCAACTCTTCTAGCCCGTGAAAACGCATCCATTCAATTTTCAAGAAACCCATTTGAAGCAAAAACCTTGATGAGTACACTGACCACAAAACTCATCCCTTGTGTACCACTAGGAGAATCTAATAGAGCATAAGATAAACAAAACAAATCGAGCTCAGCCTTCTGACAAAAACACACTACATATACTGAACAATTTACAAAAAAAATCTTTTAATATACTGAACATATACTCCCTATACACACCACATATACTACGTATACTACGTAAACATATACTATACATATATTATAGATATACTGAACATATACTCCAAAATAAATCAAACGAAAAAATTCTCAAAAAAGATGTCATGATTTTCTTCTTCTTCATGGCCTCGGGTGTTTTGACCTCGCTCAGCCTCTTCGTCTTCTTCTTCGCTAATTTCAATTTCAAACTTGAACTAATTAACATCTACGACACACGCAGCCATCGCCGAGGATCTCCATCCGCGAGTCACCGAACACGCGAGGTTTGCAACTGCCGTGAACCACCGCCGGCATCCGTTCACGTTTATCCTCCAAATTGGTTGTTGAAAAGACTTGGCTACCTTCCGTTCTGCATATTTTCAATTTCAAATCAACATCATTATCTTGAAAAAGGAAAAAGAAAAATAGAAGGAAAATTAGGAAATTAACCTGAGGCGACTTCACGAGGACAATTATCCAGCTGGCCATCTTGATCAATATATTGGTGCTTTCCAGTCGAGAAGCTTGAGCTTGCCCTACAACCCGCAAAAGATACCTTACTGAACGGTGTGAATTTCAATAGAAAGTGATAGAATCAATGAAAAGCAAATAAGAGGATGAAAAACTGAAATATTTTCAGGTGAATTATCTCTTCCAATTTGATGAATAATCAAATTAATACAAGAATTGGAAATAGGGATGCTCATGAGATACTGCATACAGAAGAGGAAATCTCTAGTTGCCAGAAGAAATCTAATGAAATATTTCACAAACGTTAGTTTCTTTTCTTTTCTTCTGGTTCTCCAAATGCCTGGTAATTAGTAAACAAGAAAAAAAAAATTACCAGACTTGAATCTTAATATTATCGAACCAAACAACAACAATGGAGGAAAACGAAAACGAAATTATCAGACTTGAAGTTTTCGTAATTCGTCAATAGCTCTCTCGTGGAACCCCATTCGCATCACATTCAAATCAGGAAAAAAGATAAAATGAAAACGAAAATAAACACTGCAAATCCATGGAGATGGTGTTGGGATGAAGCCACTGCCGCCCCTAATCCTCGATCGATTCCGAGCCATGGTGAAGGAGAGAGGAAAAACTTAGGGTTTTTAATGGTGGGGTCGTTTTGCCCTTGAGCACGGATGAAATTGTGCGAATTTACGAAGCGTATCGTCATTGGGGAGGAGAACATCGGCGGATCTGTAGAAGAAGAAAATGATGAGAGAGAGTAAGAGAGAAGAAGAAGAATAGATAGGGAGAGAGAGAATCCCATTAAACATATTTTTACCATAATTAAAAATAATTATCTGTTAATCAATAGTCTAGTATATTTGTAAATAAAAATCATAATTTTAGTTAATTTGCAAATTGTTATAAAACTAGAAGCAAAAGATAGAGAATTTGCAAACTGTTATAAAACTAGAAGCAAATTGTTATCGGCTATATTGTTCCCAAGGCATATATAATAAACAATATAATGGTAATTATAAATAGTAGATGAAACATTTTTTTTCTTCGTTTGAGGAGAATATTTATTAGTATTTGGAATGAGTGTTAATATATGAAATGTAGTGTTATATATATAGATTGGTAAATAATCATTGCAATATAGCCGTTAAGTAGCCGTTGGAAACAAATTAACGATATAATATTTGTTAGTTAATCAACTCATAATTATAAAATTCTAATTAATCATGTATATTACCTTAAAAATTTTCCGAGCCACTATGTAAAAATTTAATGAATATAAGTAATGAAACAAAAAAAATGTCACTACACACTACTCGATAAATCTTTCGGTGGGTATAAGAATAAACAGTTATAAATCTCACGCCACATTACTGGGTAAACCAGTTTGTGGGTGTTAAGTATAATTAATAATATTATTTATTGTAACTTGAAGTTATTTATCATAATTAGTAGTAATTCATAAGCAAAAATAATATCATCTTACTACATATTATTGACTATGGCATAGCCTGACTTGTCAATAATAATGGTAGTGTGTAAATAATGTTATATTTAGTATATTCATACCGCATATTCTTGACTGTGGCAGAGCCTAACTTGTCAAGAGTAATGGTAATATGTAAGTGTCATATTTAGTATATTCATACCACATATCCTTGACTGTGGCAGAGCCTAACTTGTAAAGAATAATGGTAATATGTATTTTAGTAAAATATACTAACTTTATGTAATACATATACATATATATATATATATTGTTATATTCCTACCTTTCTGATCAGGTAGAGCGCTCATGCTGATAACGTGTTATAAAATTAAAAGCAAAAGATAGAGAATAGAGAGAATGTATATTCGTAGGTGTGTTTTTCATTATAACTGAAGCTCCTATTTATAGGAAAACTTCTGATGGCATAATCGTAATAATACAATTACATTGAGGACAAAATAGTCATTCACATTTAATATTTTATCATCTCGTGCACCTCATGCACATTATTATAACACAAATAAATATATATGAATTTTAAATGTGTACTAAAAATGTTAATGTGTAGTGGAGGAGGAGGATGTAATTTCCTCAAAATAATTCCATATTTTTCTAGGGCCTACTCAAGTGACGTGTGTTTGGGCCTCATCTCTCAGATTTATTTAGGCCGAATTGATAGGCCTGTTAGCTTCATTCACATTACAGCGAAAATTCTAACTGTCCCAGTTTGAAAAATTCATTCCATAACAGAACAATTTGCATTATCAACTAAATAATATTCAGTTGTTTTAATGTAAACAGTTTATAGTAATAAATAAGGGGTGTCATTATTTCTTCACATTACCCTTATTTTAACACCAATTAGCCATAAATTGCTGCCATTTAATTGAAACTAGTGTATACCCCGTGCGATGCACGGAAACAATATTAAATTAATAATATTATAAATAGACCTCGAGTTTGAGTCACTCAATGACGGAATGACGGAAGTGGAAACTACTATTGTTCCTATTTAAAAAGAGAAAGCAAAAAAAATAATTATAAATTAAAGAGGAGGATAAACAATTCTTAATAATTATAAATTAAAGATTTGGGGTCAAACAATGTAAAATTATTTTGTATAAGAGAATATAAAAAAATTTGATTACACACCATTTCAAAATTATTATTATACTTTTTTGTATGGTTAGCTTATAATATTTGTAAAAATATTAGTAATTAGACCGATGAAAATTAGCTTCTTAAAGTAGATAATGGATTTCCAGTAGTAATTATGAATTAGTTTCTATTTTATTTTATTTTTTCTTTTTAAAAATAATGGATTTCTAGTGATAATTATGAATTGGTTTCTATTTTATTTTATTCTTTTAAATCTGTATAGATAAGGGATGAGATTTTTTAAACACGTGAGATCGTATGCAATGGGATTTTGTAACAGAAGAGATAAGTGTGTAGATTTATACTAAAAATAGGAAAAAGAAAAACAAATATTTATTGTCAAACAACGGTTTTGATAAACTAAAAAAAATGAGCCGATTTTTTGCCTATTCAGATTTGTCCAACAATTACTATATTAGGATATATTTAATGATTTTGGCGGGAAAAAGTTTCTAAATTTGTAAAAAGGTTATTCTTTTTATATAATGATAGATATAAGTCTCAAGTGGGCCTTATTAAAATAAAAGGCCAAATTTTTAACTAACCACAAGATTTTAATATTATTGCATTCCTACTATATGAGTGTTTTTATTTACAGGTATACCAAAAAAAAATGCATTTATTTAGGATGAATAAAAAAGATCAGTAACCAAATTCATACCTTCCCTACAATCACGCTTTCCTAATATTTAGGAAGCTGTTCAGATCAAATGGAAAGAATTAGTTTTTCAAACGTACTGCTATACAGAAAATACACGATCTTTTCGTAATATATACAGAAGATATATACAGAAAATATATATATAATATATACAGGATTAGTTTATACATAATATATACAAAATATACTGAACATATACGGCGTATACACGCAACATATACTGCCAATTGTGTTTACGGGAACATATATTGAAAAATATACTGTATATAAACGCACCATATCCAAACATAATCTAGCCTAGTACAAATAAATTAAATAGCCATCACCAGAGAAACTGCCGCCGGAGCCCTATGACGCCTCCCCCTTGGCTGGCCTCGGGTCCTCCGCATCAGCCACGGTCCCCGGCGCCGGCGCCAGCACTCCCTTGAACAACTCCCTTGGCATCAGGACCTTGTCCACCTCGTAGATCGGCAACGACTGGTTGTCTATCAGCGTGTGCCTGATCTTCACAATTCTCATCACATCGTTGCTGTCTTTTTTCACCGTAAAAGCGAACTTATTGGTGTCGTAGGTGCCTAACGTGTTGGTCAAACCATTGATGTAATTAGATTGCAAATTTGATATAATTCCAAATACAAAATTTAGTTGTTAGTATAATTGCAAAACAAAAATAAAGGATGAGTAAATGTGCAAATAAAATTGATTTGGATGGTAGGTGGTGTAATTTTCTCAAAATAAAACTTAGGCCCAACTTATGTAACCTGTATTGGGCAGAGTGTGACTCCCCCATACTACGAGTGTCAGAAATTTTGTATGGTGTCACGTCGCCCACGAAAATACTTCAATATCCTAAAAATAAAACATAAAAATATCATATCACTATAATTTATTCAAGAAAAAAATAAATCGAAAAATATATAAGTGCGATAAAATTAAGTATATAAAACTTCGCTAATAAATATATAAAATACACATTTTTTTTACCAATCGCATTCCTTCTTTTTCCAAACTAGTAAAGTGCACGTGCCATGCACGTGGTATCGAATGATTTTCGCTGAGTAAGTTTGTAAAATAAATTAATTTATTTATTAAACATATCATTTCAAGAATGAAATACAATATAGAACAAATGAATTCATATGTGATTTTTTTTTTTTATTTAGAATTAACATAATGATGTCCTAATATAAAAAGAGTGAAATAACGTTTTACAACCGCCAACTAAAAAATATAACAAACAAATCTTTAATACAAAAAACACTAAGATTTTCTTTCATTCTCATAAGAAACATTCATACTCGCTAGAGTCCAATACATCAATACTATTGCAAGATTCTTCTTAATTCATTTGGCAAAACGGTAATTTTATTCAAATACTTAAGAAACATTATGACCCTCAAACTTCATGATCGTATAATCTTTATAATAAGGCACTTCTACTAACAATGCATAAATATCTCTATGAAATAACTAAGGGGTTGATTGTTTATAAATTCATCTAGAAATTATTTGGTTTTTTTTTTTAACTATAGTTACTTTTGATAAAAGTTGGTATAGTTAGTTGTTAGTGGATATATTAAATAATATTTAAAATAAAATAATTAAAGTTGATATGATGTAAAAGTGAGAGAAAAATGATTGGAAGTGGTGATTAGTTAAAATTATGTGAGAAGATGAATAGTGAATTAAAGTTGATGTGATGTGTAAGAATGATTGGTTGTTATTATTTAATTATATTGATAATATTGGAAAAAGTGGAGTTGGGTTAAAGTTGAGTTAAATTTTGAGTTTTGATTGGGTTTTTTTGAGGTGAATTGATAAACAATCACCCCCTAACTGTGTCATTAAAATTACTGGTATTTTTTTATCATTGTATAAACTACTACATTCCTCCGTCTCTAGACATATTGGTGCCTACCCCATTGATGTATCGCCCCACGAGGTGGGAATGAATTTTATCTCCAAATAAAAGTTGACTTTCCAAAATTTTGGTTACATGTACTTCTCCCAAGGTGCTAAATTATTTTTTGAAATCATCATACATTACCTGAAAGTACCTCTAAAGTAATTGCACATATGTTCGAGTACAATACACAAATGAGATTATGAATATTTCTATAAAAAGTGACAACTTCATTCGAACATTCAAAACTATTTTGATACTCCGATATTGTTATTTATTTGGAATATAGACGAACAATATAATCTATTATTTGAAAATTATTGACCATCATGATTGTTGCAATGATTTTAGAATTGTTTATCATAATATCTTTCACATTCGTTTGAATATGCAATATTTGTGTGCCAAATAACTTCTTTAATGCTTTTATTGTCCAACATTATTCATCATACAAAATGATTATAAAATTCAAGATAGAGATTATTTCTTTATTCTCCA